AAGGTTTGGATTTGCACACCAATGCAAATACTGGTTTTCTTCTGTAAGCTATATCTCAGCTATACGGCAGCCGATCGAGGCGTGGCATGTCATTTCGTGATGCGGAGAGTCCTGCCAACCGATTGGCACCAGAAAAGAGGACATCCATTCCATCACGATTTTCGCCAAAAATCATGATGGTTACATCATCCAATTTGCCAAAAATCGGCCTCATTTTCGTGGTCGAGATTTTGGTGCCAATCGACAGGCTGGATCCCCACGGTCCTGGGAAGGTAGGTCCTTCGCCGATCTGGCCCTATTTCCCTGAGATATAGCCTGCCGAAGATTTGGATTTGCACATCACTCAAATACTGGTTTTTTCTACAAGATATATCTCTGCCATACGGCAGCCGATCGGGGCGTGGCATGTCATTTCGTGACCGGGAGAGTCCTGCCAACAGATTGGCACCAGAAAAAAGGACATCCATTCCATCACGATTTTCGCCAAAAATCATGATGGTTACATCATCCAATTTGCCAAAAATCGGCCTCATTTTCGTGGTCGAGATTTTGGTGCCAATCGACAGGCTGGAACCCCACCATTCTGGGAGACTATGTCCTTCGCCGATCTGGCCCCATTTAGCTGAGATATAGCCTTCCGAAGGTTGGATTTGCACATCATGCAAATACTGGTTTTTTCTGCAAGCTATATCTCTGCTAAACGGCAGCCGATCAGGGCGTGGCATGTCATTTCGTGACCGGGAGAGTCCTGCCAACAGATTGGCACCAGAAAAAAGGACATCCATTCCATCACGATTTTCGCCAAAAATCGGCCTCATTTTCGTGGTCGAGATTTTGGTGCCAATCGACAGGCTGGAACCCCACCATTCTGGGAGACTATGTCCTTCGCCGATCTGGCCCCATTTAGCTGAGATATAGCCTTCCGAAGGTTGGATTTGCACATCATGCAAATACTGGTTTTTTCTGCAAGCTATATCTCTGCTAAACGGCAGCCGATCAGGGCGTGGCATGTCATTTCGTGACCGGGAGAGTCCTGCCAACAGATTGGCACCAGAAAAAAGGACATCCATTCCATCACGATTTTCGCCAAAAATCATGATGGTTACATCATCCAATTTGCCAAAAATCGGCCTCATTTTCGTGGTCGAGATTTTGGTGCCAATCGACAGGCTGGATCCCCACGGTCCTGGGAAGGTAGGTCCTTCGCCGATCTGGCCCTATTTCCCTGAGATATAGCCTGCCGAAGATTTGGATTTGCACATCACTCAAATACTGGTTTTTTCTACAAGATATATCTCTGCCATACGGCAGCCGATCGGGGCGTGGCATGTCATTTCGTGACCGGGAGAGTCCTGCCAACAGATTGGCACCAGAAAAAAGGACATCCATTCCTTCACGATTTTCGCCAAAAATCATGATGGTTACATCATCCAATTTGCCAAAAATCGGCCTCATTTTCGTGGTCGAGATTTTGGTGCCAATCGACAGGCTGGATCCCCACGATCCTGGGAGACAAGGTCCTTCGCCGATCTGGCCCCGTTTAGCTAAGATATAGCCTTCCGAAGGTTTGGATTTGCACACCAATGCAAATACTGGTTTTCTTCTGTAAGCTATATCTCAGCTATACGGCAGCCGATCGAGGCGTGGCATGTCATTTCGTGATGCGGAGAGTCCTGCCAACCGATTGGCACCAGAAAAGAGGACATCCATTCCATCACGATTTTCGCCAAAAATCATGATGGTTACATCATCCAATTTGCCAAAAATCGGCCTCATTTTCGTGGTCGAGATTTTGGTGCCAATCGACAGGCTGGATCCCCACGATCCTGGGAGACTAGGTCCTTCGCCGATCTGGCCCTATTTAGCTGAGATATAGCCTTCCGAAGGTTTGGATTTGCACACCATGCAAATACTGGTTTTCTTCTGTAAGCTATATCTCTGTTAAGCGGCAGCCGATCGAGGCGTGGCATGTCATTTCGTGATGCGGAGAGTCCTGCCAACCGATTGGCACCAGAAAAAAGGACATCCACTCCTTCACGATTTTCGCCAAAATTCATGATGGTTACATCATCCAATTTGCCAAAAATCGGCCTCATTTTCGTGGTCGAGATTTTGGTGCCAATCGACAGGCTGGATCCCCACGATCCTGGGAGACAAGGTCCTTCGCCGATCTGGCCCCGTTTAGCTAAGATATAGCCTTCCGAAGGTTTGGATTTGCACACCAATGCAAATACTGGTTTTCTTCTGTAAGCTATATCTCAGCTATACGGCAGCCGATCGAGGCGTGGCATGTCATTTCGTGATGCGGAGAGTCCTGCCAACCGATTGGCACCAGAAAAGAGGACATCCATTCCATCACGATTTTCGCCAAAAATCATGATGGTTACATCATCCAATTTGCCAAAAATCGGCCTCATTTTCGTGGTCGAGATTTTGGTGCCAATCGACAGGCTGGATCCCCACGATCCTGAGAGACTAGGTCCTTCGTCGATCTGGCCCCGTTTAGCTGAGATATAGCCTTCCGAAGGTTTGGATTTGCACACCATGCAAATACTGGTTTTCTTCTGTAAGCTATATCTCTGTTAAGCGGCAGCCGATCGAGGCGTGGCATGTCATTTCGTGATGCGGAGAGTCCTGCCAACCGATTGGCACCAGAAAAAAGGACATCCATTCCTTCACGATTTTCGCCAAAAATCATGATGGTTACATCATCCAATTTGCCAAAAATCGGCCTCATTTTCGTGGTCGAGATTTTGGTGCCAATCGACAGGCTGGATCCCCACGATCCTGGGAGACAAGGTCCTTCGCCGATCTGGCCCCGTTTAGCTAAGATATAGCCTTCCGAAGGTTTGGATTTGCACACCAATGCAAATACTGGTTTTCTTCTGTAAGCTATATCTCAGCTATACGGCAGCCGATCGAGGCGTGGCATGTCATTTCGTGATGCGGAGAGTCCTGCCAACCGATTGGCACCAGAAAAGAGGACATCCATTCCATCACGATTTTCGCCAAAAATCATGATGGTTACATCATCCAATTTGCCAAAAATCGGCCTCATTTTCGTGGTCGAGATTTTGGTGCCAATCGACAGGCTGGATCCCCACGATCCTGGGAGACTAGGTCCTTCGCCGATCTGGCCCTATTTAGCTGAGATATAGCCTTCCGAAGGTTTGGATTTGCACACCATGCAAATACTGGTTTTCTTCTGTAAGCTATATCTCTGTTAAGCGGCAGCCGATCGAGGCGTGGCATGTCATTTCGTGATGCGGAGAGTCCTGCCAACCGATTGGCACCAGAAAAAAGGACATCCATTCCTTCACGATTTTCGCCAAAAATCATGATGGTTACATCATCCAATTTGCCAAAAATCGGCCTCATTTTCGTGGTCGAGATTTTGGTGCCAATCGACAGGCTGGATCCCCACGATCCTGGGAGACTAGGTCCTTCGCCGATCTGGCCCTATTTAGCTGAGATATAGCCTTCCGAAGGTTTGGATTTGCACAATCCAATTTGCCAAAAATCGGCCTCATTTTCGTGGTCGAGATTTTGATTCCAATCGACAGGCTGGGTCCACACGATCCTGGGAGAGTTGGTCCTTCATCAATCGGCCCATAAAAAGCCGAGAAATGACCAACGAAAAATTTTTAATTGAGTCTGACGTCAACTGGCAGAAAATGAGAAATTCTGAGCTGGGATACCAGGCAAACAGAAATCAGTAGAAAGCAACTTCGCTTTCGGTCAACCCCAAAAGTATGCTATGCTTTAAAATTGAAGTTTTCTTTGTAACTAAAAGTGTGCAACAAAAATTTAGTTTGCGGAAGGTCTAAACCACTCATTGGCAACCACAAACCAATTTTGTTTTCTTCTTTTCGCCGTTATTTGTAGGCCGATCCTGGCGTGCGACGGCTTTCTGTGATCGAAAGAAACTCCTTGGTCCTTGAGCAAGGACCCTTTAATCGCCAGCTGTTTTCTGTTTTCTTTGTGGGCCAATCTGGGCGTGCTCTTGCTTCATGCAATCGGGGAAACATCCTTCATTTTATGGTGTCCTTGCGAAGGATGAAGGACATTTTCTCCGGAAAACAGATTAAGCTTTATCCGTTATTTGTGGGCCCTAGGAAGCTTCTGTCTGAAAGTCGGCCATAATTGTTTAAAAAATCCTCGTAATCAGGAGAATGTCCCCGATCGTATGGAGACCTTTAAGGACAACAAGACAATAGTCGGTATAACTCCGCTATATCTAGTCTAATTTGGGAGTGCCACGGCTGCTTTTGATCGGGGGAGCACGGATCAAGGATATTTTTCCACGTCATACATACTTACTTTCCCCAAAGTCCTCCATCATTTGGCAAAGCCCATTTATTTTATTTTTATTTGTATTTAAGTTAATAAATAATATAATTATGTGGATATATATAATAATAATATAAAGTATATCATAGGACATCGCACTGAAAAATAGGGGAATTTTAGTTATTGGCACAGGTAAAAGTAGGCTCGGCGAAGGACTTACTTTTGCAGTATCGTGATGATCAGACTGTCGAGTTTGCATTCATCCATCAGCACTGAAATTACCGACTCCAACCTCGGATACAAAGACAAAAAGCAAAGTGTTTGGCTAATCACAACACAGTATATGAGAGGCGTCAATCTAAGACGAGAATCTTCTCTCCGAGCTCTCCAGCTGGTATTCCCATTGCGGGGACTGACTGCAGATGCCTCCATTGATGGTTCAGCGTTCAAACATGCATAATTGGATCACGCAGAGGCTTTCAGTTTCTTACCGGCTTCGGGTCCGCCGCAATACTCTATCCGGTGCAGCTACAGCGACCGTAAGATACGCTGCAGCTTGGTGGCCCCCATGTGGCGCTCTGGACTACTTAAGGTAATTGCTGTAAATGGAAATTTTCGTAAATGATGCAAATTATGTGCGAAATGAAGTGGACTATAAATAGGGCCGCCAATCGGTGCAATCGCCCCACAACGCTGCGAGTACCCGTTAACGGCATGTCGCTGGCAGTCCTGGAATTAGTGAGCATCATCCTATTGCTGTGCACGGCTGAAGTGCTACCCGGTCAGCCGCAGAGTAGGGATCCGCCCACCCAGAGCCTGGATGAGTTCCGGCAGAGGTATCTGCTGCCGCTGATCTCCTCCGACACCCGGAACTGCACGCTTAACGCCTGCGAGTCGCTGGGTATTGTCTCCCAGCTGCTGATGCTCATCAACTCCATGCCGAATGGCACCCAATCTCCAGCCAGAGATCAGAGGCCGCCAAAGCCGAAGATGGATGTCCATGGCAATGGGGACGCGAACAGCGACGAGATCAACGCCATGACCCACTTGGCAAACTTTGACCTGGTGAAGCGGGTGCGCCAGATCGAGAGTCGTCTGCGGTCCGTGGAGCAGCCCATCTGGCACCTGTCCAGCGGCAGCCAGATCGAGTGGAACCACTGCACCTCCGGCGTGTGTCGCTGCAATCCGGATACGAAGAGTTTCACCTGCTGGAACACGAACCTGAAGTCGGTGCCCGTCACCCAGGTTATACCCATGAATATGGTATCCATGTAGGTAGAATTCGGATACTTTGAGGCTATATTGATTGATGATTCTCTACTCACCAGTGATCTGTCTCGGAACATCCTCTCCACCCTGCACAAGGACACATTTCGAGGACTGACGTTGCTGAAGGAGTTGGATATATCGAACAACGTGCTGGACTTCTTACCCTTTGACTTGTTCCAGGATCTGGATAGCCTGCTGCATTTGTAAGTGAACTGCGGCTCCTCTCTGTTCCCGTACTCGTACACGTACCCGTTGTCTATCCGCTTCATAGGCGCATTCAGAACAACCAACTGGAGGACATTGATCCGCGCACTTTTTGGAAGCTGCGCAATCTGAATATTCTCGATCTGAGCAAGAACGAGATCGGACTGCTGCCCGAGTCGATCTTTTTCCACGCCCAACGGCTCACCGTGATCAATATGTGCGACAATCAAATCAAGAACTTTCCCCCCAACCTGTTGCGCGACCAACTGGAGCTGGAGGAGCTGGATATGTCGCGGAACAAGATCGAAAGGCTTGGCTCCGGCAGTGTTCGCTCTTTGGAAAAGTTGAAAACTCTGGATTTTGGCTGGAATCAAATTGGTAAGACAGCCAAATCAGAGTGGTATCCATTGTCCAATGTGATTTCATCTACAGCCAAGATAGACGATGACTTCTTTGCGGGCTTGAAGAGCCTGCGCATCCTGATGCTGCACAACAATCGGATCTCATCGATTTCGGGCACCATATTCAATAACCTTTTCAATCTGGTGACCCTGGACCTAACAATGAACCGGATAAGTCATGTAATTCAGATCAGATCCATTCAGTGTTCGAGCAACGAATTATTGCTCAACTGTTCCATAGATCGATGGTCAGGCATTTGTGGGGCTGAAACATCTGAATGAACTGCTCCTGGGCCAGAACTCAATGTCCAGCATCCCCGCAGATCTCTTCCTGCATGTCAGTGCGCTCACCAGGCTGACGCTCTTCTCCAACAACCTCACCACCCTGGAGGAAGACGATTTCCGGGGACTCGGCAGCCTGAAGATTCTCATGCTGAACAATAACATCCTGAAGTACTTCGACGCCAGGGCCTTTGAGCCGCTCACACAGCTGGAAAAGCTGTGAGTTCCTCCATCTCATACATGCATACATGCATCAAATGTTAACAGACATCCCTCTGCCGTTGTCCCTCCCCCAGGCGCATTGACTCCAACAAGCTGATGTTCCTGCCCTCGGGGGCCCTCCATGGTCTGGACAAGCTGGTGGCCGTCAAATTGGATAAGAATCCGTGGCACTGCGACTGCCGTGCCCTGTACCTGGCCCGCTGGATACGCGAGTTCGTGCTGAAACTCTGGGACGGACAGCAGCCCATGTGTCGCGGCCCCGGCGATTTGGGGGGCCACGAGGTGGGTCTGCTGCGCTACGACGATCTCTGCGACGGACAGTGGGCCAGCATGCTGTCCCTGTCGCCACGTCTCCCGGTCCGCAAGCATCGCATCTCCACTCCGATGAACTATACTGACTATTTCAATCTGTACTTGAAGCACATCTACAACAAGACCACCGACGAGGAGCTCAAAGAGGCAGAGATTACCAGTGTGGCCATCAAAAAGGTGCATCACGACTGATCATTGCCTCAGTGGGGATGCTAAAGTAGTTATTGAAGCTAAAGCTTAAAGGATTTTGTGGAGGATTGCTGGTAGAGTGTAGGAGTCGCAAATAAAGGCACGCCGGTTCCTCCTACATATCCGTATCCTACTCAGACGAGACTGAGTACTTCCTCCTTTCCAAAAATGATTTCCTTATAAATTTTGCCCCTCCCACTCTGACAAAACAAATTTAAAGTCAATTATGGATTTGCATTGCCGCCATTTACTATTAATTCCCAACCTCATGCGCAAATAAACCATCCCTAGGCTCCCCGAAGCACCCACCATCCGTTATCTCCTACAGGAACTCCTGTCCTGTCCTTGTCCTGGCTAGTCGTGCACAAATTACGGCCCTGTCTCGGTCTCGCGTGCCGCTTTTTACCGGTGTCTGCGTTTGCGACAAGCTTTTTACCTAACCAATTTATTGCTTCCGCTCAGCCCTAGCCCCAACCCAAGTCGCAGTCCCCGCCCCCGCCCCAGCTCCAAGTCTCGTGCCGTCGGCCCTCCCAGGTCTGGCTGGAATCACTGGAACTCCTCCTGGGGTTCCTCCCGCTGCCTGCCATGTAGTTTTCGTTGGCAATATCATTCCGCTTTTATACGAGTAGTTGTTCCTATTCCCCTTTTTTTGCCGCTGTCCTTGCCATTTCCATGTGTTGACATTGCCATGCTCCATTCACTTTTCCACTTTTCCCCGGCGCTGGCTGCTGGCTGCTGGCTGCTGCCTGTTGGCTGCTTCCTGTTGCCAGTTTTGGGCTCTGTTGCTCCACCCACTCTACTCGTGCTGCTGCTCCTGCCCGATAGTGTGCCTGTCATCGGTGTCGGCTCCCATCCGTGGGAATGAATGGCCATCCCCATACCCACACCCACACCCACACCCACACCCATAGATAGCCAGGGGGAAAGTGGCGTAGAGGGTGGCGTGTAGACTACAACTGCATTTTATAGAAAATTTGCAAGGCAAATATTAAAAATTGAATGCCGCCATTTCAGCGGCTGTTGTTGCTGCCTGCCCCATCGGTTCGGTTGTTTGCCTTGCTTGCCACTGTTGTTGCTTGTTTGTGCGATGTCTGGGGACCGGCGCTGATTGCCTCAAAGTGGTGCGGCTCTGCTTTTGCGGCACACGGCGGCGGCGGCATCGGCGGCATGGGCGGCGTCGGCGACAAAAAGTGTCAACCCTTTTCCATTCCCCATACAATACACAACAATATGTAATCATATTTTTCTTTATACGCTACGCACGCGTCACCGTTAAATACACAAGGGGTGTGGTGGGGAGCTTTTTTTGGGGGGGTCGTGTGAATGGGAATCCAGCTATCAGCCACATCTGTCCTTCACCTCCCCTTCCCACTGCCGCTGCCGCTGCTGTTGCTGCCTAAAGCGGAAGTAAAAGGATTTGAATTGCCTTTCGCCAACAAAACAACAAAACACCCCTAATGTATGCAAATTCCCTTAAGTTTAAAGTCTTTCGCCAGCTAAGCAAACATCTTAGCAGCGTCCCGCTGGAGGCCTAGCAAGGCGTTCTCCAGGATTGAGACAGAGGGCCCAGGAGCCCAGGGGCCGATGACCAATTGCCGCTAAAGTGTCGTTTTTTGGTATGAGAGAAGGTCAGCAGGAACAGCAATATATTTTAATTGAATCAAGATAATTCAGGCCAAAGCAGCTTAAATCAAGCTTTGATAATACGAGCTGTTAGTTTAAGCAGTCTCCCAGAATAGGGTTTAGTTCTAACGTCTTTTCCAAATGCTGGATACTCTCCTAACTGAGCCTGGCGGCCCGAAACAAGTAATTTTTTTCTCCAAATGGGAATAATGGGAATCTTAAGCAGACATCAGCGGATGAGCAGTCAAACGCCAGTTCTACGTTTTTTTTCCTGCTGTGGCTTTTTTGGGCCTATTATTGTACGGCCGGTTGTAGGGCGATCCTTGTGCTGTTTTTATATATCAACTGGTTTCCAGCAAATAAGTATTCAGCTAGGAGTTCTCTGAGTACTGATTGTATTCATAAAATAAACCAACTGATATACTAACATTTTGGTCTCTTAAGGGTAGAAGACCCGAAGACCCCCCTATTAATATTCTATGCAAAGGATAATTTTTCTTCGTTAATTTATTAGTTTATGACCAGCGCTCTTTCTGTGATCGCACAGGAATGGGATTCCGACGAGTATGTTTCTATAGAAAGGTCCATCCATCGATGCTCCCCATGTTCATGAGGAGACCTAATCGTACCCCTGTACATGTGTGAATGCACTTGCACGGCAATTCTCTGGCTCTACATTTTGTCATTTCTCCCCGATATCTACATGGCTTTCTCTACATAACAAGCTTTCGTTGCTGGTGCTTTGCTTCGCTGTTGAGCTTTTGAATTCACCTCGAGGGAGCTTTCCTTTTATCCGCTGCATGTTGGAATGCCGCTGCCGCTGTCACAGCCCACCCACCCACTCGAGCCGGCTTTCCGCGTTCTCTCGAATTCCGCTGAGTGCTTTTGAGTGCTCAAGCGCGCTCTTTACTCAGCAGAATTCTCACTCAAGCGCGCTCTTTAGTCAGCAAAACTCTCTTCACCTAAAACCCGAAGACGCTTGACACACTGAACTCGGTCGTGATTCGGTGATTCGGTTATTCGGGGATTCGGGACAGGGTTCGGCATGATTGCGCGACGGTCACCGGCATCTGCTGCCGTGCCGCCCATCTACTGCCACATGCTGCAAGTTGGTCAAATTTGTGATTTATTTGAAATTTTTAATAATTCGGCATTGGGGTTTTATTGTGTGCCGGAGTTAAATTGTTTGAATGAGCCGGCCACGCAAATTAATGCAAATTTCATGCAGCTCGCACGCAGCCCCCACCGGCTGGGGCATACTGGGATACTATCGCACTTCTGCCCCAGGATCCCGGATGGAGTGGCAGAGTGGGATCCGTGCCTGACCTAAGGCAATGGCAAGGCAGCCGCACCAAAATTTGACTATGGCAAATTCACTTAGACGTTGGCCTTTCCACGGCGTGCGCACAAACTTTCAGCCACACTCTCCTTTTGCTCCTTTTGCGCCTTTTATTTTTTTTCTTTTTACTTTTCATACATATTTAGCACATGCTGCATGAGGAGCCACCGACGGGGTGTGTGTGCGTGTGTGTGTGTGTTTGCTTGCCACTTTCGAGCGGGCTACAACGCATAAAGATGCGACTTGGTGTAAGTGTGTTTATGTGCGGACGGACGGACGGACAGGATCGGGGGCGGGTGCGGGCGTGTGGCTGTGTGGCTGGTTTTTGCGGCTATGCGTCCACTGCGGACTCTGACACCAGCACCGACTTTGCCAGATTCGGCTATGTTTCTGGATATGCCACTGCTACTGCCACTGCCACTGCCACTGCCACGGGCTAGCAGTGCTTTTGACTCTGCCGACTGGCTGGCAAATGCGGCGTATACTTAATTCGGTTTATGCTCGAACGTGTCGCACATTATTCTTATGGGCCCTTGCTCGCTCGCTGGCTCTCCCTTTCGCTCGGCTACGATGTGTGAAATATGCTGAATGTGTGTGCACAGCAATTTTGATTAGACTCCAACCCACGCAGAAGAACCCACCACCCACTGGCACCGACTGGCACTCACATACACGCACACAATTGACACCAAGGACGCGAAACAATTAAAATTTCTTCATTCTTTTTTATGGTATTTTTGTTGTTTTTTTTGCTGTACAACAATCTGTTTGATTTGCACTAAACGCGGAATAATGAAAATTATGGAAATGAAATGCCTGCCCATTGACCTCATTGGGCAGCCAGCTGGCGAGGATGCCCAACGGGAAGGAGTAGGGGTGGAGGCAGAGGCAGAGCCAGAGGCAGGTGGGCGGCAGAGAGTGGGCCAAGTTTACACAAGACCCCGGCGGAATCAGTGATGCAAAGAGTCGGAGATCTCAAAGGAACTGACTCCGAAATGGAAAAGTAAACGGAGATTATGATAAAGAAAACCTTTTGAAATGGTATCATAACTATTTAGAGATGGCATAAATAATGTTCAAACAAATTCCCGGCCATTCAGAATCACTTACCCCAATAAGAGACTCAAACGGTGGGTGGGCATCTCTGGCGGCACTGGGAACTGAGAACTGGGTGTTGCTCCGGTGCTGGTTTCGGTGTCCTCAAACTGCGGATTTGCTCATAATTTTAACGACCTATTTCGTGTGAAAACTGTGTCGCCATTTGCCATCCCCCATCCGCTGCCCACCATTGCCATTGCCACCGCCATTGCCACCGCCATTGCCACCGCCATCGCCAGAGACATCCGCCAGTCGGCATTCGCCATTCGCGGTGGCCGGCCAAGTGGGCAACTGAAGTGGAACTTTTAATTTCAATTTTTTATTACTTCAAATCTGTTTGCGCTGTTTGGGCCAGAGCGAGCCAGTAGCTGGTGCCTGGTGCCTGGCGCCTGGAGCCTGGAGCCTGGAGTCGCCCCGAGTCAACCTGTGGTGTCACCTGTTTTTCGACTGTTTCCGTTCCTCCATTTTTTGCAGCAAGTTTTGCGGCATTTTAAATACGGCAATGAAAATGCTTTTTCGGTTAGTTTTTCCGCGCTGGGTCGGCAGTGGTGGTGGTGGTGGTGGTGGTGGTGGTGGTGCTCCCGAGATGGCTTCTTGGCTTTGGTAAGCCACTCGGCTACATTTATTGGCCTGGCGACAAATTTTTATTGCCCAGTTGTAGTTTTTGGCCTGGGGCTGCATATGCCGCACTTGTGCTGTCAGTCTCTCACCTCTCTCAACTCTCAACCCGGCCATCCCCTTGCCCCGGACAGGAGGCACCAGGCAGCATCTTGTCTGTTGGCGGTGCCCTCAGTTTTGTGGGTTTCCTCCCTTACTGATGGCTTGCGGGGGTGCTGGTGCGGAGGCGGTGGCGGTGGCGGTGGCGTTGGCGGAAAAGTTTGTGCACTCGCACTCGGCGCTTGGGGTCTAATCACATTGCCAGGAATCAGGCAGCAGACGCCAACCTTCGCAGTACGTGATGCATTTTTTACAAGGCGCTCAGCCATACGGAAGGACCCACGGACCGCAGGACATACGGTCCTCAGATAGTTCGACTTCGACTTAGACTTCGACTTGCTCCACTGCTCACAATTTGACTTTTGATGTGGGTATCTCCATCCATCTGTGTGTGGCTGTGGCTGTGGCTGGGTTTGGGTTTGGGTTTGGGTCTGGCACGCCCTCGAGCACCATGGGTGAAATGCGAAAGTTTCACTGCGAAAATTGTTCGAGTTGCCTCAAGTTTTGCAATAATATTGATAGTTGTGTGGGTGCCATTTCAATTCGATATCGAAAACTATCGAGAGCGAAATGCCGTAGGCGGATTATGGGTAGCATATGGCTGTTAAGCTCTTAATGACGAAGGCCAGCCCAATCATATTGAGCATTTATTCAAATTCATATTTTGCAGCCGTAGAGCCGGCACTGCAGGTGCAGAGAGCAGAAAAGGGGTTGGACTCTATGGTGCCCCATGGTGCATGACGCAGCGTACATTCGGCATGTCAGAATTTGTGGATATTCTGTTTAAATACCGTAATGAAGTCTGCTTATACAATATAATGTACCGTGTTTGTGCTACGTGCCTTGGTTATGTTATTGCACGCCGATCCGTACTTCCGCTTCGCTTCCGCCGTTTGCTGCCGCCAACAATGCCACTCTCTGCCACACTGGAGATAGGGGGAAACTGTTTGTGGTGGTGGTAGTGGCAGGGAGACTCCACTTGCCCCCACTCCAGCTACAGCTTCGACTCCTCCTTTGACTCTGTTTTTATTTGCGTCGGCAAATCTTAAGCTTGTTTAACTGCTCGTTAGTGTTAGTCGCTAGCTAGTCGGCTGTAGTCGATGTCGCTCTCCTGGCAGCCATTTCCCAGTCCCAGGCCCAGGCCCAGGCCAGGCCCCCCCACCACCGTGACACCCTATTGTTATAACACGTTCACGACCTAGTCAACATCTCCAGCTTGTGCTGGGGCTGGGGATGGGGCTGGTTCTGGAGCAGGGGCTGCTGCTGGGGGCTGGGGCCTCCTCGGATGAGTCTCAGTCTGTGTTTGGCAAGCATCGAAGTATACACCGAAAGTAGTGCCATCAGTACACTACTCGCACACAGAGGGGCAGAGCGAGTAGTCGTGGTGTGTGCCAAGGTGCATGCTAAGTACCGACCTCCAAGCCGTAGCCGTAGCCGAAGCCGAAGCTGAAGCTGAAGCTGAAGCTCCTCCTCATCCTGATGGCAGTATGGTAACTGCTGCCTGACTGGTAAATGTTTGTCCAGCATAATTGCGCTCAGCATGCAGTTTCCCCTTAACGTTGTTGTTGTTGTTGGTGTTGTTTTTGCTATGGCTGTTGCTGTTGATGTTGCCTCTGACTCTGCCTCGGCTTCAGCCTTCCCTTTGCTACAATATTTTCCTTCGTTTTGTTGCCTTTGCCGGGGGTTTTTCAATTTTCCCTATTCTTCTTCTGCCTTCTTGCCGCTGCTGCCTCTGCCGCTGCCGCTGCTGCTGCTGCCTCTGTGGCTGGGGCAGCTTTAAAGGATTTGGAACTTGTTTACGTGGCGTATTAGTATAATTTACAACGGAAGCCATCAAAAGCTTTGATGCGCCGCAGGCAAGAAGGAGAATTATTTTCACATTGCCGTAGCCGAACTAATTTCAACCTGTCCGCAATTTTGTTGTTGTTGTTGTTGTTGCTCCCTCGTCCTTTACTCACTCACTCACTCATCCAGGTCTATGTGTGTGTGAAGAATACAGAGAGGCAGTGCACACTCTGTCCATACGAGAGGTATGCCTGAAATTGGATCCAGATAGGCGGCAGTACGAAACCAAATGGAACTCGAATGATGCCCCATAAACTAATAAACAGAAGAGTTAATAGAGAACTCTTTGGCTCTTTGGCAAGCCCCAAAACTATGTGTGTGTGTGTGGGCCATGAAAATATGTGAAGTCCATTAGCAAAATACTGCCTGGGATTAGATATATGTACATATGTATGTATAAACTCGATGGAACCACAGTTATGGCCATTGCTTTAAACCAAACAGAAGACCCTTCCTCCAGGGCACTCCTCCTGGGCACTCGTATTTATTTGTGTGTGTGTTTTTGACCATTACAATTGTCGCAGCAATTGCTGGCCATAACAATTACCGTTTCGTGTTTAACCATAATAATCTGCTCAGTTGTTTGTGTAATTAAACAAACAATAAAGCCAAGGGCCTAGGCCCTGGCCCTCTTACCATTTGAGTGTTTTTATTGTTGACCAAATATGAGTTCTGGGGATTTAAAATGGTTTAATCAACTCGTCCAGTCGCACTCACACACACACACACACACACACATGTATGTATGTGTGTATTATATTCCGCAAATATTTACGGCTGGCAAGGCTGGGGACGGGCTCTCCTCCCCTCCCCACGACTCGCAAAAACCGGAGACGTGCGTGCGCGATTCTCCATCTAATTTCCCTTTCGGGTCATAAATCTTGGGGCCAAATTTAAAAATAATACAGCGTCATAAGATTTATTGGTGAATTTCTGAGCCAAAGACTGTTTTCAGGTCTCAGCCTTGGTCCGTGGGCCGTGGGCCATGGGCCATGTTCCAGGTGAAATCAATGGACAGCCAGAGGTAGGATTTATGGGATAAGCGGGAAGGGCTGGCCATCCTTTGGCCATGCAGCCAGCCAGGCAGGCTCTCAATTATTATGCAATTTCAAGTGTTTAATTAATGTATTCTATTTTATTGCATTGTATTTAGGGTATTGGTATTGGTATTGTGTGTGTGTGTGTGTGTATAGGTATAAGTATAAGTATACGTTTACGTATAGCCATAGATATATAGATATATGTAGATATATGTATATGTATGTATGTAGATATAGGTGTAGGCATATGTAGGCATAGGTATTATGTAGACACTAACTAGCGTTATGCGTGCTCGATTCAATTGTTTATCACTTAAAAAATAATTACGAAATTGCTTGTTGGTTAATAGCGCATAAATACATTATTAAATGCATAACCAATTGTTCAGTTTTATTGTTATGCCATTGTTATTGTTATTGTTCGTAATCGTAATCGTACTCCTACTCGTACGTATATGTATGTGTATGTGTGGGAGTGTATGTGTATGTTATCCATCATCATCTGTCGCACCGGCAGAATGTGGTTTCACGCGTGTGTGCTGTGCTGTGCTGTGCTGCGGTTTGCTGAAGGATGGGTCCTGACCGGACGGGATGGACTCCTGCTAGCTGCGGGCCAGCATTCCGTTGATCATGATGTTGGCCAGGGCGTTTCTTCGCTTGCGCCACGCCCCCATGCCCTGGGCATGGTACTGCATCTGAGTGTACCACTGCTTGGTCCGTACCCCATCCTCGGCCTGTTAAACAAAAAAAAAAAAAAAAAACAACAAAAAAATGAAGAAAGCAGAGAGTGTAAACCCGTTAGGGTAGGCGTATTTGATTGACTGGGCCGCAGAGCACGCTCCTACTCTGGCTCCCAGCTTCCCCCTACCAGCTTCCCCCTACCAGTTTCGTGGTTGTCATTTTGACAGCCCCCGTGTTGAGAAGTGCGTATGTGTCTGTCTGTGTGTGTTTCTGCCTGTCAGCTGTTCAGTTGGCCGGAACTAAACGTTTCAATTTATGCGCCGCCGGGCTCCGGCTTCGGCTCAGGCTCTGGCCTGGCCTGTGCCCCCTGTGTGTCCCCCGGAGTCTTTCGCATCAAACATCTCCTGTATAGCGTGTATCCTGGCCTTTCACGCAGCCATTTGGTTGCGCTTCTGTGCGTTGCGTTCCGTTCCGTTCCGTTCCTTCTTTCATTCTTTATATAACGTATTTCAATAAATGTCATTCATTTTGGCAGCCGCTCTCTACGTGCGCTGCCTGAGCGAGCTTGAAAGGGCCGCAGCGCGCGCCTGCGGGGGCAGCAGCCAGAGAACTCAGGACTCACGGATTCGGATTCGGGACATGGGACATGGGACACGGGACACGGATCTCAGGACTAGGGCTTAGCCCCGTTTGAATCACGAAAATTTGCATGTCTAAAATCTGGCTGGCTGGCTGGCTGGCTGGCTGGCTGGCGGAATGGCTGGTTGTCGGGATGGCCTGCCCCATGTCTGCCCCCCAGCCTGCGTCCCCCCTGCCTGCCTGCTACAGGCATTGGACAAGAAGTTATTTGAAATGGATTTTTGCATACGCTTCTTGTGCTTTTGTCTGTTATTAAAATTACTTTGCTTTCCCTAGCAGCAGCCAGGCGGGCAGGCAGGCAGGCGGGCGGGCAGGCGGGCAGGTATACACAAAGAAGGTAAACTCTTCATTGTATGGCCAGGACGTCCCCAGCTGCCCGCTCTCCACTTCTGCCCAAGAAAATCTGCATCAGAATTCTGTTCTGCTCGAAGGGAAAAGGTTATGTGTGTGCGTGTGTGTGTGAATGAGTTTTCTGTGAATGATTTTTATTACATTCCAGCAGGATGCTTGCGAAATTTCCCCCACCCCCCACCTGCTCGAGATTCCAGCCCAAGTTTGCTGGGCCTGGATTTATGCCAAATTGTTTGTTGGTTAATTGTCCTGTTGCCGCTCTATTAACCGCACTCCTTGCGGGCCCAGCAGCAGCCCAGGAGACATGTGCTAGCTCCAACTTTGCCACCAGCACCACTTGAATCAGATATTCAGGTATTCCTCCTCCCAAAGCCGAAGCTCCAATACTGAGCTGGCAAACGGCAGAACGAAACTAACGAAGCCCAAACATTGCCGTTGTGCAGTCAAAAGGCAAACGCTTACTAATTCAAAAGCCAACTCGACTGGCACAGCACACGGAGCAGGCCAGAAGCCAACCGAACAGAACAGAACAGAACAGAACAGAACATAACAGAAAAGAACGGAACGGAACTGAACGGGACACCAGACCAGACCAATCCAATCCACAGCCGCCTGGCCATCCATCCATCTATCTATCTATCTATCTATCTATCCATGGCCAGTTCAAGTGGAAAACAAAGGACTAGCGCCAGGGCCAGAGCCAGAGCCAGAGCCAGAGACAGGATACTAGTAGTGGGGGCATTGCTCGTTCAGATTGGCAGAACAGAAACAGGATCTGGCGATGGGGCCAGGAGCTGGTAACGGGTAACGGCTAACGGGTAACGGGTAACTGGTAACTGGTAACTGGAAACTACTACTCACTTTGAATATGAATGTGTCCTTCGATGAAATTTCCTGCACTTCGAAATAATCATCCCAATCCGCTTCGCTGCACACCACACATCTGTCCAGATAGAGGGGCTCCCGGATCAGCGTGTAGCGTCCGCACTTCTCCTTCACCAGCAGCAGGGAGGCCTCTCGTATGCCCGTGTGCTTCGGGAAATTCAGTTTATCCGACATGGCCTTCTCTGCCCTATAATTGGCACTTGGCTGTTTTTGTTTTCGTTTTTGTATTTGTAGTAGTTGTCGTCGGTGTGGCACACAAAAAAGAACGGGCACAAACGGGAAGAGGCAGCAGCAGCGGCAGCAACAATGAAAAACGAAAAAAAGAGGGGAAACAAAAATACGTAAAAAATAGAAAATTGTGTAAAACGAAACTAAACAAAATTACAGCTGAAAAATAAGTGGAGGCAAGCGAGGGGGCTGCGAGGGCGGGGATGGGTCCACAAGTAGGGTCCCGCTAGATAAGGCTGGCAAGCGCACAAAGCGTGTCAGGCCAAGCAACTGCCGCAGGAAGCAGAAGCACAGGCACAGACAGAGGCAGAGGCAGGGCCTGTGGCAGTGGCAGTGCCAGCCAGAAATCTCAAATCAGGAGCGAGCGGCACACAAAAAAAAACTCGGAGTGAATATGGACAAAAACGAACGAAACGTTGACCGTTCTAGAATTGAGCAATTGTCGGAGGCGTAGCGGGAAAACTGGCCAGAAATTTAGTGCAGGATACAGACAGACGGACGGACACACGGACAGGGAGAAAGAAAAAACTAAACAAAACATGTGACATACGCACTGCGTCCATGTCGATTGCGGGCCCTCGATCCCTAACCATAACCATTGGAGCACACACAGGAAGGCCGGCAGGATACTTCTGGTGTCACCTCTTCTCCGGCTATGGCTATGGCCATGGCTATGGCTACGGGTTCTCCTTCTCTCGCTCTCTGTCTTGATTTTCTGGTGTTCAAATGGTTTTGTTTTTAGGCAGAACGAAAAAGGCACGAAAGAGATTGTTGCTGGGATAAGCACTTTTCATTAGAAGAAAAAACGAATGAGAACGAGAGAGCGAGAGAGGCTAGAAGCCGGCGAGGATGCGGTCTCGGTTCAATGGGCCCCGGCACTGATTTGTTGAAATCTTTTATCGCACGGAAAAGTGTTGCCATGGCAGGCCTGACAGCTCTGCTCCGATTTGCACCGACTGCGAAATGGGACCGGGAAATGGGCTTGGAAATGCCAGAGTCCCATTCTCCTCCGCAAGGCTTTGGGTGCAGATGCCGCTCGCTAATTGCCCCGCCATCCTCATGGCCAGCCATGGAGTCATGTCAAACGCCAAACTGCCAGGCAGCCGGGCCATCTCTTCTCGCCTGTCAAACGTGACCCGCCGAAGGGGGGACAGGGCAGAAACGGCCTCCATGGGAGGCGTTAATCGAAGTGTATATGGGGTTATCCCGCGGGGGTAGGGTCCCTCGAGGGAGGGAAGGGAGTGGGAGGCGGGACGCACCTTGCCATTGGTCACGAGCAGAGCGTTGACCGGCGTGAGCTTGATGGTGCGCGCCTTCTTCCAGTTGCTGTCCGTCGGCTGGGTGTAGAGGAGCTTGCCCTCCATGGCGAAGCGGACCTCATCGTGATTCCACTCGAGCACGTCGATGGCCATTTTGCGCAGCTTGATGTTTATCATATCAATTTCGCAGGAGGCCCGCCGGTTGGGGCTGGAGGAGCTGATGCGGCGCCAGAGCTTGGTGGGCACATCCTTGGCCTCCTGGTTGATGTGGTTCAAGTGCAGCTCGATTTTCTCCTGGGCCTGCTTCAGCAGCTCACGTCCGTCGATTTGCGAGGGCGTCACCTTGTAGAGACGCGCCAGCAGCAGGGGGTACTTGGTCACGCGCTGGACGGGCACCTGTTGGATGGTTGGATGGTTAGATGGTTAGAGTGAATCGATTAGGGGCTTTGCCACCACGGTGGCCATGAATATCAAAAGGGCACACTCACCATCAGGAAGGAGTTGAGATTCATGCGCCGCAGTACGGCGTTCTCCATCTGGGAGACCTTCAGGAAGATGCGCAACAGCTCCTTCTCCTTCTCGAGGTTGGCCAGCAGCAGGCTGGCACCCGCCTGCCGGACGCAGTAGCTCTCGAAGGCGTGCAGCATCTGCGTGAAGTCGAGGAAGATGCGTCCGATGTTGACCGTCAGCAGGTCGTCGTCGCCCTGCTCCAGGGACATGTCCAGGGCGTCGCGCATCCGCTCCGCCAGCGTCTGATTGTTCTCGAGCAAGTCTTCCGTGTTGAGGAAGATTGCGGAGAGCTGCTCCTGGGTGAGCAGGCCGGCCACCAGCATCGGGTGGCAGAACTCCTCGAGGATGATCTGCAGGTCGCGGCCGTACTTCTCCTCCGTCTCCACAATCTCCGTGATGATCTCCTTGCGCTCCACCCGCTTCTTGCCGCACTTGCGGCACACGAGCGGCGCGTACAGCACGCCCGCCTCCCCCACCTGCATCTCCACCGCTCCGTCGCAGTCCTCGCACAGGTGCAGCACGGTGGGCGTGGCCTGGTACTTGCTGCGCGACGATTTGCTCGTCTCCGAGCCGACCCCGGAGTCCTGCCGCTCCACGTCGCTGCCGCACTTGCCTCCGCCGCCCAGGCCACCGCCGCCGCCGCCGCCGCCGCATATGAAGCTGTGCGGTGGCGGCGACAGGGAGTTCATGTTGCTCTGGCCACTGTCCCGGTCCTCCACGCGCTTGTCCAGCTCGCTGAGCGTGTCCGTGGCCTCCTCCTCGATGATCTTCGGGTTGTTGCTGTAGTCGAAGCTCTCCTCGCGGGCCAGGCCCCGCTCCTTGGCGTCCACCAGGTACGAGAGGATGTCGTACTTGGAGGCGCCCTCGAAGATTGACCGGGCCGCCTTCTTCTCCAGCTCGGCATCGTTCAGGGGCGGTGCGGAGAGCGGCAGTGGCGGCGGCTTTTCGTTGATCTCCTCGTAGATGGGATCCCCATTGAGCCGGATGGACTCGTAGTGGTGCTCGGCCTCCACCCCCGGCTCCGTGTGCGTCGAGTGCTCGATCTCGGCGAGAGTGGCATCCACCAGCAGCTGATAGAACTTGGCTCGTGTGGCTGCATCCAGCTCCGGCTCGGCCTCCAGCTCGGGTTCCTTTTGAGGCTGAGGCTGAGGCTGCTGCGCCTGCTCCTCCTCGAGGATTCCGGATGCGGTGAGCACGCTGGAGCAGCTCTGGTAGCAGTCGGACTCGTTGCCGCCGGCAAAGTCAAACAGCTCGTAGTTGTGGGCGGAGGCGAAGCTGTTGGCGGAGCTGATGCTGCCCCGATTGGAGAGGCGATCCTCCTCTTTGGTAGTCCGCTCGGAGCGGATCCGCTGCAGCGAGGCGCTGATCAGACGATTCATGTCGTCGTGGTCTTTGGTGCCGCTCATGTCGATGGCCTGGCGCGCCTGCTGCAGCCGCTGCAGCGAGTTCTCGATCAGCTCGGCCACCGTCTCCGTCTCCAGGCCCTCGGCCACCTGGCCCAGCATCGGGTCCTGCAGCAGCTTGGCTATGAAGCTGCCCTCCTTGGGGCAGCTGCGCGGCACAATCGTCGTCACGGCATCCTGCATCTTCTTGGCGCGACCGGTGTCGCCACCCGCCGAGCGCAGGCCGCACACGTGGGGCACCAGGTTGCGCTTCACTGCCTCCACGGGATTCCGCAGGATCTTCAGCAGCTCCGTCTCGTGCTGCACGAGAGGACTCGGACTCGAGCTGTCGGTCGGCGACGGCGGCGGCGGCGTGGCTGGCGTCGAGCTGATGGCCGGCGGCGTATTGATGGGCGTTGTGCTGGTGCCCGCCCCAGTCCTCTCCCTCTCGTAGTCCAGGCGGATGAGGGTGCGCCCCCTGCCGCTGGAGCTGCCACTGCTGGACGTGGAGCTGCTCGAGGTGGAGGAGATGCACGACACGGATCGCTGCAAGTTGATCTCGCTGCTGCGGATGGGTATGATGGCGATGCCCGTGCCCGTGCCCAGGCCCGTGCCCATCATCTGCTGGCTCCGCATCGTATTCAGGTGATTCAGCTGCTGCTCCTCCTCCTCGGCGCTGCTCACGTTGATGCACACCCCGCCGGTGCTCACCGCCTGGCTGTTGACCACCACCGAGGACTGGTACAGGGGCTGGGCCGCGTCCGCACTGAGATTCATTGTCGAGTAGCAGTCATCGCCGCTAATCAGTATCGACGTCTTCTTGGGAGTCGCCTCCTCCTCGGGCGAGAGGTGCAGCCTGGTGCTCGGCTTGCGGCGCAGTTGCACGCCCACATCCGTGTGCGGATAGGTTTCGTCATCCTCCTCGCTGTGCGAGATTTTCAGGCGATGCACTTCGTGGGCTCCCTCCCCGCTCTGGTTAAAGGGCGCCACCCGCACGACAGTCCTCTGTTGCTGCTGTTGCTTCTGCCGAAGCTGTGCCGGAGTCGATGTCAGAATCAGGGCCGGAGCCGGAGTCGGAGTCGGAGTCGGAGTCATAGTCGGTACTGACTTATTGATTCCGTGTGGCGGAAGCTCTAATCCTTTTGCGGTCTCCGTCAGTGGCTCCGTCAGTGCCTTGGGGGGCGATGCGGGTGGCGGCGGAGGCGGCTCTGTCGGACGCCTTTGAAATAAATCTCTCGAGTCGCTGCGGTTGCTTTTTATGCGCAGCGCCATTGTGTCCTTAAAATTTAAAATGACATTCTGTGGCCCACTCGCTGGGGCCGAGGAGCGAGGATGCGGCGATGTTGTCGTCTTCGAAATGGAGCTGGTGCTGGTGCTGGTGCTGGCGCTGGCGATGGAGTTCCTGGCGGCCGTGGCCGTGGCGGTGGCGGTGTTGGTGGCGGCGGTGGAGGCGGTGATGGGCGCGGTCGACAAATGCCGTTCGCTGTGCGCCCGTCTGATGGGATTTCGCGATTGTGTCGTTTGTGCCGCACGCTTTTGACTTGCCGCAGGCCTGGCAGGCGCATCCTTCTGCCTTGCCACCCTCTTCTCTTCGCCCTTGTCCTCCATCCCATGGCCATTCATGTCGTTGTTGTCGTTGCTGTTGCTGTTGTTGCTGTTGCTGTTGCTGTAGCTGCTTCTTCTGGTGCTGCTGCTGCTGCTGTGGCTGTTGTCGTTGCTCTCGTCCTTGTCGTTGTGCTCGTCATCATCGTCATAATCGCGATTTGCTGCTGTCGTCTTTTGGTTTGCCGTTGCTGCTCCTTGGGCCACTCCTGCTGCTTTTGCTGCTGTTGCTGCTGTCGTGGCGGTGCCTGCAAAGGAGTAGATGGTGACACTGGTGAGTGGCGTGTCGCAGCTAGGAAAATGTTGCTTTTGTAAAGTAAATCTAAGACAGGACGAGAGCCAGAGCAGAGCCCCAGCCAGGCGGCAGAGACCTGCCTGATCATGGGAGACCGACCCCCCAGGGGCATTCCAAGGCAGCCATTCAGTGGTGCTGCCATTCTAGCTGTATTTGGCTCTGGCCAGGTCTTTTGGCTACAGCTGGAACTGGTGGTCCAATCCGTTCGGTTTGGTTAAATATTTATGTGTGATTGGGGACGGGGCACGGGGGACGGGGGACGGGGCACATCGAGTGTTTAGCTATTTATTCATCCATCTCTTTTGGCAGCACTTGGCACTAAATCGTTTCACTCCATGCAGATTTATGTGCCCCCGAAAATGGTATAGTTGCCCCACCACTATCCCTTGTCTCTCTCTGGGTCTCGTTCCCCCCTTCCGCGTGGCATGCCCCACGTTGACAGCCACTTAAAGATGTGCTTTGCCCCGATAAGGTGTTTTGTTTTGCGACTCTCTCTCCTTCGGTTTCTGGCTTTTGGGCTGTGGCTGTAGCTGCGGCTGTGGCCGTGGCCGTGGCTCTGGTTGCGGCTGTGTGGCCACCAATTGCTGCCCCCCACTCGGCAATCCTGCCGCCCCACCTCCTCTTGGGCTGACAATATGTACGTATCTTTATTTATGGTAAATTGGGTGATTTACGTTGCGGCCGATAAGCTTTGCTTTTCAGCGGGTGCCGTGGCTCTCGTGGCTCTCGTGGCTCTCGTGGATCCTTGTCCTTGTCTTGGCATTTGAATTGCCAGGCAGCTCAAGTCCTTGACTGGAACTGAGACCGTGCCACAAGTCAGGGCTTGTAAATGGGCTTTTATTTTCGTTAGCCGGGTTAAGCGCACGAGCACGAGGACGAGGGGAAGGGGTGCGAGGCGCTAGGACACGGGCGAGGATGTGGCTTTGGTGGACGACGCCGAGAAGAAGAGGAAGACGAAGAAGAACGCGGCTGTGTCTCAGTGCGGCAAACAATTTGTGTTGGAATTAAGATAATAGATTACATTTAAATGTTTTCGGCGGCGGCTGCGAAAAGGGTTTACTGCTGTCGCCGAAATTTGAGTGCCGCTCTGCTGACGTCAGCGCCAGGGTCGACCCAGGAGACAGCTCTCCCTCCTCCCCAGAGATAAGATTTTTTGGACACCCACAGTCCACAGGGAGAACGGTTGTCCTGTCCTTGGAAAGCCCCTATCATCCTTCTGCTGGCAGCCTTTTAATGAGTGTGAAAAGTGAGCTGGTTTTATGGGTTGCGGCCACCTTTGCGTTTTATGTTAATGAGTGTCATCAACGGGCAGATTCGAGCTCCTCAGCCAGTGCACTTTGATCCCCATTGCGACTCGAATGTCTCTCCATGCCAGGCCACCCAAAGGCACATCGTCATCGTCGTCATCAACGGCAACGGCAACATCATCAGATACGGAACAGAACGGAACCCCAAAAGACTGTGGCAGCTGTGGCAGATGCTTACCCAACAATGAAATTAATTAATTGCTAGAGCCACTTGAATTTCAATCGACAACACTTCGATTTGCTAATCGCATTAGCAAGCCCCTCTGCCCCATGCAAAACAGCGACAATTGGAGAGGGACAGGGAGGGGGGGGGACGAACAGAATCTGAGAACTGCAGAGATACCCTCGGAGGAGCATTGGATTGGTGCTGCTATGGCAACGACTTCAGCAGCATCTTGAATCTTATAATGCGATTTCTTCATGAACTGAAGAGCTGTTCAGATTTATGGCACTGAACAGAGCTCAAAGCTCAGAGCTCAGAGTAGAAATCGGTTTGAATCTGCGTCAAGTTTCCATCGGAAATGCCGTGAAATCGGCAGACTGTCGTCGTTCTGGAGGACAGACATATGTATACACCCGAAGGTAAAGCCCAATACCCTCTAGAAGAGGGACCCTGGGAAAAAGGTAGCTCGCTTTTCATCTAGCACAGAATCCCCTCTCCAATCTCCCGCTCTCTTTCTGACGTTGCCGTTGCCGTTGCTGCTGCTGTTTCTCTATTTCCACTTAACGAGATTTTTGTTTTGGGGCCATTGTCGCCGGGCGAATAGTAGTTGCCTCTCCTCTACCCCCCCCCTCTCTCTCTCTCTCTTTCGCTCTCTCTATCAACTATTGTAATTGGCTGTCGACTTGTCTTTGTGCGAAAATATTTAATTAACGCCCTTTGTAGTTGCCCCTCCGCTGCTGCCGTTTTCGGGGAAAATAACAACAAATAAACCTGAAATTTGACAAAAGCCTTTGGTTACACTCGCATCTAATTGTCTTGGGCCGCAGATAGTACATATAGTCTAGTCGTATCTCGAGAAAATCCCCCAAAACAAAAGCAAACAAATGTAATTCAACTTCAAAAAACAAAGGCAAAGGCAAATACTATATTTTTAAGGCAAAAACTTGGTAAATGGTAAATATTTTGAAGGCAAAAACTTATTGAACAAAGAAAACAGATGGCTATATCCTATATCCCATATATGCGTATATATCTGCTATATTTTGGTAAGAAAACTGTTTGAACAACGATTTACATGTAATTGCGGAGGCGGAGGCGGAGGCAGAGGCAGAGCCAGAGGCAGGAACAGAACTTGCCACACTGCTGTGGCAAGTTTCAATCAGGAATCTTGTTAAATGCGAAACCAATGCCTCCAAATGTGTTTGTGTGTGTGTGTTTGGATTCTATTTCTTGGGAAATACTTGTAGTTTTTTGGGTACTTTTTGTTGTTCGATTCGAACAAAGCAAATGGGGAAAATGTAAATAAAATGGAAATAAAGATGAAATGTGCAGGAGGCTGCCTGCTGCCAGCAGAGGTGTGTCCCTCCCCCTCCCCCCCCCCACCTCCTCCTCACCCTTCTGCCACTCCTTTGGCGATTTGCCGCTTTGCTGGCCAAATGCGGCTTTGTTCATTTGAGAAGAAAAAGTAATTAAAAGTGTAACTTGTCGGGATTAGTAAAAACATTTTAATTTAGTTGCGATCCATAGAAGGAGGAGGAGCAGCAGCAGGGCCATGGCCAGGGCCAGGGCTGTGTGGAGGGGTTACACGAAGTGGCAGCAAAGTCAAACTGAAATGGGTCAATAAATCCGAGCTTAATTTTATTGCTCTGCTAGCCATCTCCTTCTCTGCGTCTGTCTGTGCAGCTCTCTCTCTCTCCCTCTCCCTCTCCCTCTCCTTTGAGCTATTCTGCTGAGCGAGACGAAGAAATATAAATCGCAATGGTAAACAAATCAAAATAAATGAGTAACAAAAGCAGAGCCATGAAGGAGGAGCACATCCCCCCCCCCGCCACCGTCCGACAACCAATGTGCTGACAAGCTGACAAACTGACTCGAGACTCCACTCGAAACGGGGGCAGCGACGTGGAGGCGTCTCTGGCACGCTGCCGAGCAAAAGGGCAGGGCGAGCGAAGCAAAGGAGCAAAGCGTCGCAAAGGAAGCAGCGAGAAAGAAATTATAGTGGCTGAGCAGGGATTGAGATACGTAAACGTATACGGGATTCAGATACAGATTGCAATTCGCCCTCCCTCCCCGCTCCGCGCCGCTCCCACACGGGACGGAGACCAAGGGAGAGCAAGGGAGAGGGAGTAAAGTCCACTGCTGACATTGTGTACATTCGGGCTCATTTCAATAAGGGCCAACAGAGAACAGAGTACAGCCAACAGCATTTTTACAAGCAGGACATGTCAGAAAGCAGTCGAGGAGTTTGATGGGCATTCCTTTGGGACAAAAAACATATAAATTCGCATTAGAAATGCACGAGTTGATTTGAGTTTCATGTTGGCTGTGAAATAAGCAAACAATGCCCATTGCAACAGCTGCAACAACTGCAACAACAAGTGCAGCGTAAGGTGGCTGCTGCAACAACAATGCACCAGCTTTTTACTGCCTTTCGGTGGTGTTGTTGTTGCTGTTGCTGCTGTTGCTGCTGCTATTGTGGCACGTTCCGCTAGCCTGCGCAACATTCATTTCCTTGTCTTGGTCCTGGTCCTGGTCCCTTGGCTCCTTTGTCTTGGCCATCGTTTGGCCCTTCCACAGATTTTGCAACCGCCCCCCACCATCCAACTGGCAGTGCCTCCTCCTGGCAGTGGCCGTTGTTTTTCCTTCATTTTTCGTACTGCTGCAGCTACAGCCTTTCCATCTTTTTAAATGCGCGTAAACTACTTACAGGCGCATCCGCCGACTGCCGACTGCCGACTCCTTCGTCCATAGGTATCTTGTTTATATATATCTTCAGAGAGAGAGAGAGAGAGAGAGAGAGAGGGCAGAGCAGAGCAGAGCATATTATATATATTTCTGCGGAGGAGGAGCGCAGCAGCGAGGTCGGACAGCGTGAACAAAAACAAACTGCCGGCAAACATATTGCAAAAGTGCAAACAGCGGGCATAAGATGCGTTGAAAATCCTTTATCAGTGAAATTATTTGCGCAAGGACAACAGGAGGAGCAGTAGCAGTAGCAGTGGCAGGAGGTGGAGGTGGAGGTGGAGGTGGAGGAGCTGCAGGATTGCTTTCCAACAACAGCGAAGGCAAAATGAAAACGAAATGAAAATGACTCTGGCAAAAGGGCGTACTGGAACAGAAACTGGCCAAAACAAACCGTTTCCCCAGTTTCCCCCCGTGACCCATGCCCCGCAGTCCGGGGCTCTGGCTTGCTTGCCAAATGTGTTGGAAAATTTCTCGCCAAGAAAAAAAAAAAGAGAATCTCCGTTAGCCCCCGCACCATCTCGTGCCCATTCCCATTGCCAATCCATTCCATTCAGCAGCCATCCTTCGCGGCGCGCCGTTTCACTCCATTCCGGCGCGGAGAAGTATGCTACACTTTTCTTTAATGGCAGTCTCGGCGCTTTTATGTCATAAAAATTGAGCAAAAGCGAAGGAATTCGTACGTACGTACATCTACGATGCGGATGCAGCAGCAGCAGCAGCAGCATCAGCGCCGGGAAC